GTTCTGCCAAAAAAAAAAAAAAAAAAGAATCCTAGAAGACAGCTTGTTGTGGTAAAATGTAAGAAGTACTGGCCCAAAGAGCATTGTTTCATTTCTATACCTCCCTCACAAGAAACTTGTTTCCTGATTTCATTTGATCATTTGCACACCTGATTCCATGGGGAGAGGTCCTTTAGCAGATATGTGACAACACAGACTGAGAACAGCATCACTCAGTGACAGACATTACACTATTTAAAATAAGACTGAAGGCAGACCCGGCGGAGCGTGGGCATCAATGCTGACTCAAAAAGGTTCTGGGCTTTCAGCAGAGTGTGGCCGGCTCCATGCTATTGCGGCCATGGCCCATCTGTAGTCAGCCCAGTGGGCCGGCATTAAACCAAAAAGAAGATGTCCCTATAGAATGATCTGGGAGTGGAAACCAGTGACTCAAAAACAGAAAGCTGGTCCAAAAACTTCAAGTTTTTGCAGTCTCAGCTTCAGGTGAAGAAGGTGGCACTCACTCAGGCAAAGAGCCAAAGGACAAAACAAAGTACTGTCATTGATTTAAAGTGAGGCAGCTCTGCAGACAACCGGCAGATTGTGGACACAACACCACATGTTGCAGCAGGCCTGAAGGACCCTGTTTTCAGTGGGTTTTCTGCAGGAGAAGTTCTCATTTCTTTAGCTGACGAATATGATCCTATGTTTCCTAATGACTACGAGAAAGTAGTGAAGCACCAGAGAAAGGAACGACAGAGACAGCAGGAGCTGGAGAGACAGAAGGAAACAGAAGAAAGAGAAAAGAGGCGTAAAGACAGACATGAAGCTAGTGGGTTTTCAAGGCAACCAGAACCAGATTCTGATGAAGATGAAGATTATGAGTGGGAGAGGAGAAAAAGAACTATGGGAGGAGCTACTGAACCACCTACTTCTCTTGTAGAGAAAGACAGAGTCACCTCGAGATTTTCCTTATGAAGAGGACTCAAGACCTCGATCACAGTCTTCCAAAGCTGCTATTCCTCCCCCAGTACATGAGGAACGGGATAGGTCAACATCTCCAACTGGGCCCAGCAACTCCTTCCTTGCTAACATGGGTGGCACAGTAGCACATAAGATCATGCACAAGTTTGGCTTCCAGGAAGGCCAGGGTCTGGGGAAGTGTGAGCAGGGGCTGTGCACCGTGTTGTCAATGGAGAAGACTAGCAAACTGGGCAGCAAGGTCATTGTGGGTGATGCCACAGAGAAGGGCGAGTCTCAAGATGCATCAAAGAGGTCAGATTCCAATCCATTAACTGAAATACTTAAATGTCCTACTAAAAGTGGTCCTATTGGGGAACACAGTTGGTGCAAGAGAAGTTGATGAAGATTTAGAAATTGAAATGAAGAATGTGAAAAAAAAGGCAAAGTTGGCAAATGTGTGATATCTGAAATTCCTGGTGCCCCAGATGATGAAGCAGTACAAATATAAAATCCGAGAGAGTTGAATCAGCAATTAAAGCTGTTGTTGATCTGAATAAGAGGTATTTTTGTGGATGGGTGGTAAAAGCATGTTTCTACAATTTGGAAAAATTCAGGGTCTTGGATGTGGCAGAACAAGTTTGATTTTAAAGACTAGAGTCATCTCCAAGATCCTTGAATGAGCTACAGACTGAGCAAAGACAATGATCCTTAAAAGATCTATGTTGTGAGCAGAAATGGCCAAAGCTGGTGAATACTGGGACTGCTGGAGGGACTTCTGATACATATGTTGATTGACTTCTTTTTTATTTTATGATTTTTTTAAATATAGAATAAAAATCCTCTTAAAAATTAAAAAAAAAAAAAAGACTGAAAATGTCACAACCAGGTAAGATGAAACACCTTAGTTTAACTCAAGAGTGGAACAGAAAAGATGAAGCCTTTTAGGAAGCTGATCTCTAAGTAAAAGGAAGCAACCTAAGATCTATTACATCTATTCTTACCTGTAATTGGAATCAATTTCCAATGAATTTCAGTCTCTTCAACATTATTTGAATTAGACTGTCTGTGGAATCCATGTTCAACGGGAACAGTGGGACACAAACTGCAATCTTCAAAATTATTCATGTTAAGTAAATTTGGATCCTAAAAATAAAAGTACATATTCAGTAGCTTTCTCTCTAGCAAATTTTTAAAAATCAAAATTTAATAAAAATATTTTTTCTGAGGAAATTCTCAAGTTTCAACATAAATATCACAAATGAGTAGTATCAACATAGTAAAGTGACAATACTGTATCTCAAAACAACAATTTTTACTCTGAAGATATAATCTGGTATTTATAGCCATGACTTAGAAACCTATGGTAAAGTACCATACAGTAAATATTTTGAACTTTGTAGGCCAAATATTTAACTCTGCATTATAGTATAAAAACAGCCACAGACATAGATAATAACACATAAATGAATGGGTATTGCAAAATCAAGTGGACTCTCTGGCTCATAGCCATCAACTTAAATATTAAATATATTAGGAAATAACAGTTTAGTATCTCAATGCCTACATACTTTACTTTTTAACCCTATCATCATCCCCCTCCCCTAAATATCCCAAAAGAACATGAAGGCTGAGGACATGTACAGATGACTTTTAGCCAAAGGAGAAATGAATGAATTGGAAATAAGCCCACAGGAATATGGTACCACCCTGGTAGTATTCTCAATGGATGTAGCCACTTCTCGAAGGAGATTAAAGCTATTTCTCAGCTATAAACCAATCCTTTATAAGCAATAACCCTAAATAAATAAATTAGATGCCTTAATAAGCAAGGCTAAGAGTTACTTCATAAGTAATCTCAATAGCCACTTGTTTTACATTACTACCTACAGGAGAAATATAAAATACATCCCCTATTTGTTACCCTGGGGCAGTGAGTTCAGTCATGCATCATCTTTAAGTTTTCTGTTAACTGACACCAGAGAGCAGCCAATGCTTTGAAGACTCAATTTTATTACAAAACATTATGGAATTAAATTCCAATATGCCATTTCTGACATTGTCCAGCTTTAGTTATATCATAGTAAGTAAACTTTATTCTACATATAAGCCCTACAAGCAGGAAGAAAAACCACCACTTTTGCATTTATATATCTGTAACAAGAAAATTTAGCAATACCATGCTGGACAGACATCTTTAATCAGAAGTGTATTTTAGTTCTTCTGAAAGAAATCACTCTATGAAGCATATTCACTTGCTCTCTTTGAAACAGTGAAAATCAAACGAAAATAACCAAAAGATATATGCTTACTTCTTTCAAATGCAGCTTATGGTCAATGCCTACTTCACTGGTGGATACAGCAACAGGATACTTTAAAGATGAAGGATTGACTTCTAACAACGGGCTCTGAACACCCTTAAAATGTACGTTTTCATTTTTTGTACAAGAAAGACGCTCATATTCTTTCTTATCTGAGACAGAGTTCAATTTATGTTTCTGCCTCAGCTCTTCATAAGCATTATCCGTGTTCAATCCTAAGGCTTTATTGACTGTGTCTGTGAGGGATGCATCAGAATGGCGTGCATTTGCTAGTGTTTCTGACAGCCAATTAAACAGCGTATGAATGTCACCAACACCAGAGTTACAGGTATCCTGCTGCTGCTGCCTTAAATCAGCATCATGCCCAACTAAGCCAATAGGCTGTGGAGACTCTGAGAAAAAAGAAACAAAATTCAGCTCTTAAACTTAAGTTCAAAAGTCAGCATACATAAGTCAAATAGGCCTTTAAAATTACTTACATAAAATGTATGGGGAAAAAAATGTATGGGGAAAAGTCATACAAGTCAGACTTCAGTTCTACCAACATGCCTATCCCTTACTAGACCATATAAATAAAGCACCCAGAACATAGCACTTAAAGCTGTCAGGACAGGTCAAATATTCATTAGTTGTAAGATCCTGTACATAGGTCAAACTTTCTATAATATGTGCATAATATATTAATAACCACACTATAGTTACCCTAAATTCTACCACCAAAATCCTAGTCAATTATTGCTTGACAAAAACTGAAACATTTGCACTTGCTATTTTGTTAGGAAGAGATCCAAATTACACTTAAATCTACTAAAAATCCTTACTTATTTCTATTTCCTCTATTCCTCTATAAAGCACTCTTCTAAGCTTTGTCTCAAATGACTAAATGACTTAAAATTCATAATGAAGCCCAGATATTAGAGATACCAAAGAAATCCCCACCAAACTTGGAGCCCTCTATGAGAGAAAACATGTTAAGACAAGGTTGCAGAAAGGTATAAATCTAGACAATCTGCCCAACTAATACATTTAAAACTTTCATAGGAACAGACATTCAGAAAATAATGTGCCTTCCTTCAGGAGCACACCTGTAATCCCAGATTCGTAGGAGGCTGAGAGGAAGATTGTGTGAATTTAAGGCCAACATAGGCAACTTAGTGAGATCCCAAGTCAAAATAAAAAAAGGGGAAGTCATGCACTTTGATGCTGGAGTGGACATTATGATTTCTAATTTAGGATGTAATAAACCACAGTAAAAAAAATTTTTTTTAAATAAGATTACATACTTCTTTTAATTATACGTTATAGTATCTAATTATGATTCTACTAGGAAATTACAGAGCACACAAAACTAATATAGAGACTTAAAAAGAGCATCAATAGGTCTGGGTGAGTTTAACTACAAAGCAGCTTCTGAAGGATAATGAAAATACTCCAAATTTGGAATGGTGGCCACACAACTGTCAAAACTCACTAGACTGTGTGTTTAAAACAGGTACACTGTATACATATTGTACCCCAAAAAAGAGGGGCTCAAAAGTTAGCTCATATAATGAGTGGGTTCACCACCAAATCAAAAGGATCCCCCCCCCCCCCCGGAACGGGGAATTGAACTCAGGCCCTTGCACTTGCCAGGGAAGCGCTTATTCTGAGCCATCTCCCCAGCCCCTCAAAAGAATATTTTAAATTATAACCCAGCCTCCAAATATCTACTTCAAAAACAAAAGATGTAAAATAACTAAAAATATGCAAGAAATTCCTAGAATCTTATCACTTCTGCCTTGGCCTCATTTCAATTTTAAGCTTCCCATCCATACAGCCATTCATCCATTCACCTATCCATTTAGACAGGGTCTTGCTATGTAGTTAAGTAGCCCTAAAATATGTAGCCCAGATGGTTTCAAACGCGACAGCACTCCTCTCCTTTCTCAGCTGCAACACCTCTGCTTCTCAAGTGCTGGGATCACAGTTGTACACCACTATGCTTATCTACTACCATTTAGATTAACAAAACCTAATTGTTATTCTACATACACAGAATTAACCAATTACCAACCACAAACTATTAAATACCTATTATGTAGTCAACGCTAAGAAATACAGCAGACCCAGACATAGTTGAACACACCTGTAATCCCAGCACTTAGAAGCAGAAGCAGAACTGCCATGAGTTCAAGGCCAGCCTGGGCTAAATAGTGAGTTAAAGGCCAGCCTGAACTGCACATAGAGACCAAAAACAAAAAAAGAAAAGAAAAACAGCAGTTCAAAGAATGCTTTGGATTCAATCAGAACTGAGTTAAGATAGCTGGGCATGGTGGCATATGGCTGTAATCCTAGAGAGCACTCCAGAGGTTGAGGCAAGAGGATTGCCATGAATTTGAGGCCAGCCTGGGCTACACAGTGAATTAAAAGACAGTGAGACCCTTTCTCAAAAAAAAACCTGAGTTAGAATATAGACTTTGCCACTATGTAAAACTTTAGGTAATGTCATTTAATTGCCCACCAAAGATGGTTTTCTTATCTGCAAAATGAGGATAATAATGCCTAATATTTACTGGGTGTGATGGTGCGCACCTGTAATCACAGCACTCTGGAAAGCTGATGCAAGAGGACTGCCACAAGTTCAGGGCCAGCCTCAGGTACATAATGAGCTCAAGGCCAGACTGAACTACATACAGCAAGACTGTTCCAAAAACAAAGGAAAAAAGAAAGCCTAGCACTCAAGAAATGAAATCTATACAAATAAAGCACCCATAGCACTGCACTTAAAGCTGTCAGGACACAGGCCAACACTTTAAGACAGATGGCATGTATCATGAAGTTTTAACTGGCTCAGCACAGATCACAAGCCCAACGTAAGATGAACAACATGCAGACAATGAACAGAACAACCAGAAAGCTGAGGAAAGTTGATATATAACAACTGAGAGAAGTACAAGATGCTTCAAGAAAAAAAGGAAGCAAAAGACTGAGCACAACATCATAGGGGGCAAGATGAATTGTAACTAAAGTTTATGAAAGAATAGGAAAAGTGGCTGCATGAGGCCAGCCTGTAACAGAATGCCAAGTACAGAAGGTGAGTTTCTTTTTTTTATGTATTTGGTACAGGGTCTCACTACACAGCTCAGAATCCTAGTGATTCTCCTATTTTCAGCATTCCCCAGCACTGGGATTACAGGCATGCACTACCACGTCTGAATTTGGTGCCGCTCAGCAAGCCTGGTGGCAGGGCCGGTGTGGTATGTGGTGCCAGGGATCAAACCCTGGTCCCTGAACTTGCCTAAGCAGGTGCTTCATCCACTGAGCTACCTTGGGAGCCCCAGAAGGTAAGACTGATCGTGAATTAAGAAAGCGATATTAAGAATGTGATGCTCAAATAAACCAAAGAAATTATTAGTAGTAAGTCAGAAAAGCTACCAAGAACAGAATATGGACAAGGAAAATAATATTAGAAAGAAAAAGAAATACAAAAAAATAACCCTCCGAGTTATTACTGCAGATAACAGCTCTGCCAAAAAGATAACTTTCTGCACTTGCCTGGCAAGCACAAGGTCCTGATTCAATCCCTGGTACTGCAAAAAAAAAAAATAATAATAATAACTTTCTTTGTAGTTTCCAATATAGGCTGTACAACAGGTGAAATGAATTTTTATTTCGGTTTAATTCACTTAAGCTTAAATAACAACACATGGCTAATAACCAACATACTAAATTAGTACAAGAATAAAAAGAGCCGGCAAGATAGCTCAGTGCACTAAGCACCTGCTTAGACAAGTGCAGGGACTGGGGTTTGATACCCAGTACTACATGCCACGCCAGCCCTGCCCCAGGGGTGCATTGAGCTGGCAATGGAGTCCGGGCGTGGTGGTGCACACTTGTAATCCCAACGCTGGGGAGGCAACAGGAGGTTCACTACGAGTCCATATTGCATAGTGAGACCCTGTACCAAAAAAAAAAAAAAAAAAAAGGAATAAAAGAAATCAGGACACATATTGCTAGGAGCACAAAAATGTAGCAAGAATACTGATCTATCCAACCTAGTAAGAGAAAATAAGTATGAAAAAACAAGAAAGCTGGTTATTAAAGAAAAGAAAAATAAGCTAGGTGTGGTGGTGCATGCCTCTAATCCCAGGACTCTGGAGCATGCCATTTAATTTAAAGCCCAGCATGGACTGTCTAATAGAGAGTTCAAGGTTAGCATGGTCCGCTTAGCAAAACCCTGTTTAAAAAAAAAAAAAAAGTCAAAAAACTACTCTTTAAGAGAGGAGGGTCGGTGAGATAGCTCAGTGAACTAAAGTACCTGCTTAAGCAAGCTCAGGGGCTGCGGTTAGATCCCCCGCACCACAAGCCACACCAGCCCAGCCCCGAGTGGGCTGATGAGACAGCCACAGCACCCGGGCGTAGTGGCACATGCCTGTAATCTCAACACTGGGAGTATGAAAGCAGGAAGATCACCACAACACCGAGCTGTGTAGTAAGATCCTGCAACAACCAAATACATTTAAAAAAAAGAAAAAGAAACAAAAGAAATAGAGGAACAAGGGACCGGGGAGATGGCTCAGTAGAATAAGGGCTTGCCCGGCAAGTGAAAGGGTCTGAGTTCAATCCCCAGTTCCACAAAAAAAAAAAAAAAAAAAAAAAAAAAAAAAAAAAAAAAAGGAAAAAGAAATAGAGGAATACTCAGACTTGCCATAACTGAAAACAGCAGTATAAAATGTGAACTATCATATCAAAGGTTCCTGAATGCAAAAACAATGTATTCCTTATCAACGGACTTAGGATTGTGTGAGTATTTTAAAAACTTAGGCGATAAGGCCCTAGAGATAGCTAAGTGGTCAGTCTAAGTGTCTGCCAGGCAAGTATAAGGCCCAGGGTTTGATCTCCAGTACTGCATGCTGTGCCAGCCACCAAAACCACGCATGGGGCACACAGTGCTGGAGAGGCTGAAAAGGAGGATCACTAAGAAGTGCAAGCTGTGTAGTAACAAGATATATATAAGTGATAAAATGTTTTAACTTACTAAAGTATTTAAACACATACACTTAAGTCTCCATTTCATTTTTGTCTTTTCTGTCAACCAAAAGAGAAAGCAAAGCAAAGAACAAAGAAAAAAAATGTAGAAGACACTCCTAGATTCCTAGAGTGGAAAATTATGTATTCATCTAAGAAATACCAAAGCTTAGGTTCAGGAGTTGGAGAGTGCAGGACAAGTTGAGGGCAAAAGAAAAAAAAAATTTTTTTAATACATATTAAAGCCCAAAGGGATTCTTTATGTAACATCCTAAAAGAATCCAGTATTGTGATATTTCTCCAATTATGAAACTAAAGGACTCTAAAAGGACAGGTACTCTGATTAGAAGGAAAATAGCTGAGTATACTTTATTAGCCTAAATCAAACTATCCTGAAATCTGACACACGAAGGCAAGAGTAAAAAATGTTTTGTACAAGACCAGGCAGTAAGTATTTTAGACTGTGTGGGCTACAGATAGTCTCCAGCCCAACTCTGCCATTATAGTGTGAAAGAAGCCACATGCACACATATAAATCGGCATGGATACATACATTCTAACATTTCTTTACAAAAAGATAGGGACAATCTGGATTTGACCACAAGCTTTAAATTGCACATCTGTATAGGAAAGAACTAATTGCGGTATTTTTGGATGTTATTGTGTTATTTTTTAAAAAATCTATTATTTTACCTTCATACAGATGGTAGTTTTCAGATAAATTACTGGTTTTGGCAAGCTTTCTCATATTTTCAGGCAGGTCTTCAAGCTTCCTCTTTAAGACAGTTTTGCTTCTCATATCTTCTGTATCTGAGTCCCTGCCAACATTTTTTTTCCTGGACTGAATTAAATTAATCAATTCTTTCACTCTATCCTTATCATAATCCAAAGAATGACATGACTTCTGTTTTCCGGATGGAATAGTTTCACGCCTTGAGCTGCTTCGTTTTCCAAATTTCATTTTTGTACCATTCATTTCTTCTTCTTGACCATCATAATCTGAAAGTGGACTGAACTGCTGAAGTTTTTTATTTTCTTCAAATAGCTCTTTTAGTTTACAAACAGGTAACTGATACATTTCAGGTTGAAAAATATAGGTATGCAAACAATTATCAATATGGGACTTATGTTTTGGTGCTGAGTATAAGAATTTTTTATCATCTAAACGTGAATCATATGAAAACATAAATTCTCGTTTACCTGAACCAAAACCTCGCTTAAAAAATTCAGTTACATACTTTTCAACAACAGAATGAAAATTTACAGTGTTTATGCTTTTGAATTCCTTTCGACAATGAATCAATGCAAACTGTAAGAATTGAGCTATTCTTAACATATCTGGCATACTCTCTTGCCTCTCCTGTGGTGCTGTATTGGTCGAAACCTTTTGTGCTGTGAACAAACAACAGAAGTCACAATCAAGAAACTCATCAAATACAGATATGCATACTTCCAAAAAAAGGTGTAACTTTTATATATTAATATTGAACTAAATCAGCTATGTAGTAGAGCAATAGCAGGTTTAGAGGGCAAAAACAGGCCAACAAAAAAGTAAATGATATAGCAGAACATATTTTTAAAAGAAAAAATAATCAATCAAGATCTTAATTTCATACTACCCCTAGGTAATTCAAATATTGATAAGCACAAGAAAAGGAGAAACAGAGGTGAAGACCTAAGACTCCACGTAAGACACTTCTCCAAATGACAGCAATGTCATTCCTTTCTCTCACAAGTAACAACTTTATCTTCATATAAACTCTCTTTCCCATAAGCAGATAAACAGGCACAAAGTCGCCACAACTGAGAAATATAAACTCATAAGGAGCAACAAAATTCATTTTTACTCCAACAGTGAACTCATTAGTAGGAACTTACATAGTAGTAAAGTTTATTCTTACAGAGTGAATAGAAAATTTTTTCTAATGAATATCAAAAACTCCCATTAATTTTGGGTTTTTTTAGCATTTTATTTTTTTTTAAATAATTTTATTGAGAAACAAATAGCAATGAATCTCTTTAACCTGGTACATGACACATTAATGTCACTAAAATGTGAATCAAAAATGTACCACTAAAAAAAAAAAAAAAACCCATATAAAATCCTCAAAAGCTAGTCACAATACCATAAAAATTATATCAAACTTTGTAAGTGAAAAAGCAATGATAAAACCAAAAAGTTTTTTCTTAAGATAAATATCAAGTCATGTGTGTTTTAAATTAGTATCTCTTATTCTCCCCAATATTTATCAAAAGTTGATGTGGGTAAAGATAAAATGTTAAGTAAATTATCTGATAATTTTCAGTAACATGTAGGTATAAGTAATTAAATTTAGATACTTAAAGAACTTACAAGTAATTATGCTTCTAGGTTCTTGAAATAGAAACAAAGCATGTAGGATTCGAGACTTCACAGTCTGATGTTCTAAAAAACAGAAGCCACATTTATCAGCAATGTGTTTTTGTATGTGGTTTGTTTGTTTGTTTGTTTTGTTTTATTTTTGGAAACAAAGCATCACTATGTAATTCAAGATGGCCTTGAACTCACTCAGTAGCCCAGGCTGGCCTCAAACTCATGGGGCTCCTCCTGACTCGGCCTCCCAAATGCTGGGGTAACTGGCATGTGCCATCATACCCAACAGAAATGTGTTTTTTTTTAAATTATTTATTTATTTATTTTTACATTTATTTAGTGTGTGTGTGTGTGTGTGTGTGTGTGTGTGTGGCCAGCTCAGCCCAGCAGGGGGTGGGGCTGGCTGGCATGTGGTGCTGGGGTATTGAACCGCGGTCCACTGTGCTTTGCTAAGCTTGTTCTAAGTAGGTGCTTTGACCACTGAGCCATCTCTCCAGCCCCCAGAAATGTGTTTTAACTGAAAGATTTTTTCAAACTGTTAAAAAGACAGAAAACCACCTACCATATGGAGAAACCATCTGATAAGGAGAGAGAAAAAACAGGAATCCTTTGTCTCCCAATGGTTTAACAAGAACCTGCATTTTGGAAAAGGAAAGAAATTTATCTGCTTTATTATTATTATAAGTCAAATACATAACACATTCCACTAATTATAAAGAAAAAAGTTCTTAATTATTATTTTAAGCAAAATATTACTAGTCAATTCATTTAAAATTAATCCTCAACGGGGCTGGTGAGATGGCTCAGTGGTCTAAAGCACCTACTTAGAACAAGCTTAGCAAAGCACAGGGACCGTGGTTCCATCCCCCAGCACCACATGCCAGCCAGCCCCGCCCCCTGGTGGGCTGAGCTGGCCACACACACACACACACACACACACACACTAAATAAACTTAAATAAAATAAAATTAATCCTCAGCACTATCCCTGCCCAAAACAAAGAAAAACTCCTTAGCTCTTTCTACCAACTCTGCCAATTAACAGCACTCTCATCAAATTTGTTTTCAAAATACAAATGGAAAATATTACTAAGATAATCCTCATAATTAACTACAAAGCAAACTTACTAACTTTTCCCTGCAGCAAAAATACAAATACCAAACTAAAGACTTCATATTTTTGTCATCATTTTAAAAGATGCTAAATTGCCCACAGTGTTGCATGCTGAGTATAAAACATTATGAAATACTACTTTTGAAAATATGAGATTAATCTCAAATGAAAAATATTGCCATAATCTAATGACACGCATACTTAATGTTCTGCAATTTGCCATGTCAGAGATAACTTAAAAGTAACACAAGGTCACAGATGACAAGAAATTTATGAGTATAGAGAGCACTAATAAAAATACCATTAATTATGCACAACAAAAAAGTTTCTCAAGATTTATAAAGGAAAAGGAATGGAAAACACAGTTTTCTTATGGTACTAAAAGATGGTCAAGAAAGATTTATTGGGCTGGCCAGATAGCTCAGTCGACTAAAACGCCTGCTTAGGCAGAGCTCAGCGGCCAGGGTTCAGTTCCGATGTGCTCTTGAGATGGTGAATGAGACTGGGTGTGGTGGCACAGGCCTGTAATCCCAGCACTTGGGAGGCTGAAAACAGGAGAATCACTATGAATCTAATCTCCATAGTGAGACCCTGTACACCTGGTAGACCCTGTACCAAATACATTTAAAAAAAAAAAAATTTACTGAGTATTTTGAAGATTGATTTTTGAAGAACAGGTAGGTACTATACTGAAAGAGCCTAAGACTATGGGAAATACATTTTAGGAGAGCCAACTATGCCTATGACTAGTAAAAAGGTGAGAAGAGACTGGGATAAATATCTACAAAGTCAGATCAAGAATCTGACTGTAAAGTAATCAAGAAAACCAAGTTATCCAGGAATGTCCTTGAGAATATATTCTTTTGGGATGGGCTGCTTCCTTAAAATAGTACCTAAGAGCTGAGCACAGTGGCATATCCTGTAATCTCAGTTATTCATGAGGCTGAGACAAGAGAATCCCAAGTGAAAGTCAATTTGGGCAACTTAGTGAGACCTTCTCTCAAAATAAATAAAAAAAAATTTAGAGATATAGCTCAGCACAAAGGCAGTGACTGGATTTAATCCTTATTACTGTCCCCCTCCAAAAAAAAAAGCTTCACATATTTTTTTAATAAATGGACAGGTAAGTTTTTTGTTTTTTGTTTTTTTTTTTTAGTTAAGTAATATAACTTAAATGATTAAGCCTAAGAGATCATACATAAATAAACAGGTGAGGAGAGTAAATGAGGAATTGAGCATGGCAGCTGAACACAGATAGTTGGACTCTGGAAGAAAAAATTCTTCCACCTAAATTCCTATTAAACAATGCCAGTAAGCAAAACTTGCACAAAAACTTAATAATTTAAAAAGTGACCATGTTACTCATTCACATTTAATAAAAACATTGAACACACAAAAGTAAAGAGCTGGGTGTGGAGGAGCACACACCTGTCATCCCAGAGTGACACTCTGGAGGCTGAGGCAAAAGGATCATTCCAAGTTTGAGACCAGCCTGGGCTACAAAAGGAGCTCAAGGCCAGTCTGGACTGTATAGTGAGACCCTGTCTCAAAAAGACAAAGAAAAAGTGATATCATATTTAGGGATTCAAAAGTCCCAGTAGACTAACTTCCCCTGGGGCAATGTCTCTTATCTCAATTCAACCTGTGCCAAATTCTTAAGACACCGGGGGCTAGGGAGATAGCTCAGCAGCTTAAGTGCCTGCCTGGCAGGTGCAAGGTCCTGTGTTTGATCCCCAGTACCAAAACAAAAAAGAGAGAGACACCAAATGATGTTCATGCAGTTCTGACAATAACCTGCTAAGAGGCGCTGGTGAGATGGCTCAGTGGTCTAAAGCACCTACTTGGAACAAGCTTAGCAAAGCACAGGGACCACAGTTCAATCCCCGAGCACCACATGCCAGCCAGCCCTGCCCCCAGGTGGGCTGAGCTGGCCACACACACACACACACACACACACACACACACACACAAATAAATAATAATAAAATAACCTGATAAGAATGACAATCAGAAGGTGTCTGGGGACCATTCTCAAAGGGTGGAAAATTCTTTCCCTTTTTTATACCTGTATTCATTCCAGACGCTTATGTCATTAAAGGAGTTTAAGAGTATGCTTTAAGATATAAAAGCTTTATCTCTGCAGTTGTTCTTGTCTCCTAGAAATATCCAAACGAAGCTGCACAATATTGCTAAGTGACATGTACAACTAGTCCTTTGATGCTTAAAGTGAGCCTTACCTTTATCATTAATGTCACAGTCATAATATATCTCTGAGTATGTACAAGTGGACAATGTACCTGGTATAATTTTTTTTTTTTTTTTTGGCGGAACCGGGGATTGAACTCAGAACCTTGTGCTCGTCAGACAGGCTATTCCATTGAGCCATCTCCCTAGCCCCTACCCGGTAATTTTTAAAGATAATATCTCTTTTAGCATTTTGCCCAATACCAAATTATCTGAACAGGATGTTGAAGAAACATTTCCATGTTCTGTGCTCACCAAAGAAAACCAGCTAAATACATTTAACCTCTCACCCACTCCAAATAAGAGTATTCAGCCTATAAATTCCACTGGCCTATGGGCCCTAAAGACTTCTACTTTAAGGAACCATGATGTAGACAGAAAACCATGGACTACAGGCAGAAACGACTGTCAGGTAGACAGAGACCTTAGCATTTTTATTTGTGGCTGCAAGCCGAAGAAACACCTATAATCCTACAGGAAACAAAAACCCAGGAGCCTGTAATCCCAACTCTCAGGAGGCAGAGGCAGAGGCAGGAGAATTGTTCAAGTTCAAGACCAGCTCAGGCTATAAGGTGAGCTCAAGGCCAACCTGCACGGCATAGCAAGACCCTGTCTCTAAAGACAAAAAAACAGGAGCTCTATGTTCTTGCTGCCTTACTTATCATACTTTATTTTGTTCCATTCAGAAAACAGTATTAATTCAGGCTGTCAATTTTTCTTACTGTATTCTACTACGATGACTTATTAAATAATATCAGAGGCCATCTGGAACTAAAATTCAAAAAACATACAAGGAGCATTGGTGGTATAGTGTTGAGCACAGCTGCCTTCTAAAAAGTATACAAGGAGCTGACCATAAATCCTATAGCTTAGAAGAAAATAAACTATGTGAGAATCAGTAGAAAACACAGATTCAAACATCTGAAGGTTTCAACTTGAAATTATCAAATGCAAAATATCAAATAATTCTCAATGAAAGTTCCAGAAATAATTGGCAAAACTGAAAAACGTGTTCACATAAAGGCTTATACATAAATGTACCTCATTTTTTTTAATCTGTTCTAATTTTCTTACACTTTTTTTGTTTTTATGTTTCCAGTACATAATGACTGCATTCTTCTTGAGGATTAGTACATATACATAATACATCTTAATCTTTCTTTTTGGTACTGGAATAGAACTCAGGACCTTGTGCTTGCTAGACAGGCTGACTTGTATCGCCAGCACATACATCTTAATTCTTTCTTCATTCCCTTTACTCCTCTGCCTTCCCATTCTCTATATTCTCTTATCCCCTTCCCACTGGAAAAACACCTCTCCTTACTTCTATTATCTTTCATTTTGTACTTCATTTATATAAGGTTTCTCCTACAAGAGAAACCATGTGATTTTTTAAATCTTTTTTTATTAATTTGGTACAGGGTCTCCCTACGCAGCCCAGACTTGTAGTGATCCTCCTCTCTCAGCCTCCCCAGCACTGGGATTATAGGCGTGTGCCATCACACTCAGCATTCCAGGGCCCACACAGCATGTGGACCAGGGATCAAACCCAGGTCCTTATGCTTGTTAGGTAGGCACTTTGACCACCAAGCTATCTCCCAGCCCACCATGGGATATTTAAGCTTGTATGTAGCAATGTTTTTAATAGTCAAAAGGTATAGCTAGGTGTGGTAGTGCAATACCTATAATGCCAGCATGTGGGAGGCTGAGGTAAGAGGATTGCTGTGAGTTGGACGCCAGCTTGGACTGAACTCACTCAGCCTAAACAGTGAGTTCAAAGCTAGCCTGAACTGTATAGTGAGATCCTCAATAGTTATTATTATTATACTCAAAATGAGGAAACAACTAATAAACACAATATGGCATTATCTACATACCATAACAAATTAAAATTCATCCATAGAAAGGAATGAAGCACAGGAACATGTTACAACAGGGCTGAAACTTGAAAGTACAATACTCAATAAAAGCCATGCACAAAAGGCCTCATTCCATTTATACAGACTGTCTAGAATACACAAATCCAGAGAACAAGTAATGGTCCCCAGGCACTTGGGAAAGAGAACACTGAATGAATAGTTAAGGACTACAAGGGTTGGTTTTTTTTTTCTGCAATGAAGAAAATTTTCTAGAATTAGATAGTGGTGATAGTTACACAACATTATCAATCTACTATAAACTACTGAATTGTATGCTTTAAAAAGGCTACAAAAGGTGAATTTTATATTGTGTGAATTTCATTTCAAAAAAAAAAAAAAATGGCAAGGACTACCACAGTATAATTTCTATCTCTTACAACTGTGCCAGGCACATAACAGATAAATAAGCCTGAAAGATTAAGAACCTGTTAAAAAAAATGAACAGCCGGATCCAAAAAGAATCAAATACTACTTATGGTGGCACACGCCTGTAATGCCAGCACTCAAGAGACTGAGACAGGATGATTAGATTGAGTTTGAGGCCAAACTGGGCTATGTAGTGAATCTAAGGCCAGCCTAAATTATAGAATGGGACTGTCTCAAAGCAAAACAAAATGAATCAGATATAACTTTCAGGAAAAAATTTCTCTATGAAATTAGAAACACATGAAATAGCAAATTGGACACAACCACATATAGAACTTTTGTATTGGTAGATAATTATGATGAAATTTAAACTGCAAGACAAATGAACAAGTAGAAAACAAAAAGGTTAAGAAACATAAAGAACAGATCTAAAAGGTATGATAGGTATGGAAAAATACACATCAAGTGAGGCAGATATGAAATGTATGCCTAAATAAGGTAATTGCAAATCATCAAAGACCAAAACAAAAGGCTACCAGAAAAAAAGTTCAGGGTCAAACCACATAGTAAGACCCTGTCTCAAAAAACAAAAATACACCAAAAAAAAAAAAAAAAAATGTGCTGGAGAGATGGCTCAGTAGAATAAGCGCTTCCCTGGCAAGCTCAAGGGTCTGAGTTTAATCTCCAGTTCTGCCAAAAAAAAAAAAAAAAACCACTTATGAGGGACTTGAGCAAGCATCAATTTTGGTAGCTGTATGGGGGGGGGGGGTGGTCCAAGAACTACTCCAATGGATAACTATACTCATCCATCTCTTTAAAAAAATTACCTAGTTTAGGGCTGGAGAGATGGCTCAGTGGTCTGAAGCACCTACTTGGAACAAGCTTGGCAAAGCAATAGGGACCGCGGTTCAATCCCCCAGCACCACATGCCAGCCAGCCCCGCCCCCTGGTGGGCTGAGCTGGCCACACACACACACCACACACTCTTTCTCTCTCTCTTCTCTCTCTCTCTCTCAAATAAATAAAAAAATTAAAAAAAAATTACCTAGTTTATTCTGGGATGCTAGTATAATCTTACACAAAAATTGCAAAGCAAGAACTGCCAACCTTCGGGCTATAATTGAGCTAATGGGGCCAGGGAGATGGCTCAATGGATGAAGCACTTGCCTGGCAAGTGCAAGGGCCTGAGTTCAATCCCCAGTTCCACCAAAAAAAAGAGGGTCTTATGACATTCATGGTGCTAGGTCTCCAGAGTAAGTTTTACATCAAATCTTCTGCATCTCCAGCTTGCTAACTAAACCTTTTTTTTTTTTTTTTTTTTTGACAGAGGGTCTCACTGTGTAATTCAGGCAGGGCTTGAACTCATTATGTAGCCCAGGCTGGCCTCAAGCTTATGGCAATCCTCCTGCCTCAGCCTCCCAAGTGCTGGCATTAAAGATGTGCACCATCATGCCCAGCTCTAACCACCCATTTGGGATTAAGTCAGCCTCTATAATCAACCAATACCTTATAATAAATCTCTTCTACACATACAGGTTCATGCACATTTGCACATATACATTCTTTACTGGGTTTTTTCTTTACTAAACCCTAATATTTAAAAAAATACTCATTTGCTGAAACTCAAAATCCCTTCATGTATAAAAAGCAAAGTCCAAAACAGATTTTATAAATTCACAAAAAAACCTACTGCCATTTTCCTACTAAATAATGAAATGCATGAAGTGGCCTTTTGAAAATTAAGACAACAGTGTCTACAAATCACTACTTTTATCAAACATCAGACTATAAGAGGGCTGGGGAGATGGCTCAGTAGAATAAGCAACTGCCTGGCAAACGCAAGGGCCTGAGTTCAATCCCCACTTCCGAAGGGAAAAAAAAAAAAAAAAAAAAAATCCTGCTCCAGACTAGAAGAATCCTGAATGCATACATAGTAACATTAAAGAAAAGGAGTATAAAAACTATTGCCTGTAGCCTCAGCCATCTGCCACTGGTGGATCCCTTGAGCCTAGCAGTGAGGAGGGCCAGCCTGAGCAATGCAGTAAGAACCTGTTGCCAGAAAAAGTTCCTCCTAGATAATAAAATCTGCATAAAAATGCCAGGAACATACAAAAACTATCAAATATCACACTGATCTGACATAAACTAACTCTCCCTCTCTCTCTCTCTCTATATATATATATATGTATATATATCAATTATACTTCTACATATACATCCAATGTAGCTCTATAGTAAGATACATATTTAACACGGTTCACACCCAAGATTCAATCTCCAGTATGCCACCCCGTGCAAAAAAAAAAATCATGTATACACACACAAAACACTATAGACTAATGAACTGAAACAAATTAGAAAAAAGATTCCATTCACAACAGCTTCAAAAAAGTGAAATAGGACCAGAGGGATAGCTCAGCAGACTAATCACCCACTTTGGCAAGTGGAAGGACCATGATTTGATCCCTGGTCCCACATGATGCACCGGCCCCACCCCCAGGGAACCCTGAGCCTGAAACCAGAGTCTGGGTGTGGTAGCACTCGCCTGTAATCCCAGCACTTGGGCAGCTATACACAGGTGGATCACTACCAGTAGAGCTTCATAATGAGATCCTATACTGGTACCTAATACATAAATTTTTTTAAAAATGAAAAGCACCTAGGAATCAACCTATCCAAAAGAGGGGAAAAAACTACAATGAAACTTACAGAACATGGAAGAAATTGAAGAACACTGATATATGGAAAGACCCCTGTACACAGATTGTCAGAATAAGCATTTTATAGATTCAATGCAACCCCTATCAAAATTCCAATGACACTCTTCACAGAATTAGAGGGGAAAAATCCTAAAACTAATAAGGAAACACAACAGACCCAGAATAGCCAAAGCAATCCTAAGCAAAAAAAGCCAGGCTGGAGGCATCACGATACCTGAGTTCAAATTATACTATAAAGCCATACTAATAAAACAGCATGGGACAGAGACACAAAAAGACCCATAAGCCAATGGAACAGAATAAAAGACACAGAAATAAACCTACACAGCTACAACTGATTTTGACAGAGAAGCAAAAATCCTATATTGGAGCAAAGAGTCTCTTTAACAAATGGTACTGGGAAAAAGGGATATCCTTATGTGGAAGACTAAAACTTGCTATCTATCCTGTATCAAACCTGCTATCTATTCGGCACAAAAATCAATTTCAAAATGGATCAAAGAACTGTGTATAAGACCTGAGACTCTGACTCTACTAGAACATACCTGAAACACTTGAAGCCATAGGCATAAACAGACTTTAGAAGTAGGACCCTAACAGCACAGGAAGTAATACCAAAAATTCATGAGTAGACTATATCAAGTGATAAAGTTTCTGCACAACAAGAGAAACAACAGCGCATAGAATGGAACAAAATCTCTTACTGCTACTCTCTGACAACTTAGTAAGATCTGTCTAAAAGAGTAAAAAGGGCTGTAAGCAGTTCAGTGTGAAATCCTTGGGTTCAGCCCCCAGTACCAAAACCAAAATACTCAAAAAATATTTGACTATCACCTTCATAATTACAAAACATAAAGATAAATTACAAAGTCATAAAGATACTTCATAAGAAAGACTACAGAATAGTGATAGTGAACCTGTTAGAGATTTAATAACAGAACTGGCTGAAGCACATGTGCCATAGGTTCACCACTACTATCATAGAAGATCTAGTGTCATGGTCAGAAAGAAGAGTACTAGCCATAATAAAATACTTTTAACTGAATGATAGCAACAGAGAGGCTTTCTAATACTGAGGCAAAAACTAAACTGAAATATTAATATAATCACTGATGCTTTCAAAAAAATTTAAAACCTTTTACTTACAAGTTTTTCTTTATCTAGTTTTTGCAGTAAACTCTCCATGTTACTTGCAATTCTTGTCTTTTCTACAACTTCATAAAGACTGCAATACATTCCATTCTTCAAAACTGACATTAAAAAAACACACAGTAAGTATGCAAATAGTCTGCTTCTCATTTTATTTTAGTAAAATCAAATTACTTTACCTTCATTTGGACCTAGGTATGTTTCCTTATGAAACAGTGCTGGAGGGATTTTCTGTTTCAGATGATCAATACTTGTAACTATTTCAACATCTAACTTTTCAGGACTGGGAAGAAAAAAAAAAAAAAAAAAAAAAAGGACATTTGCCTTACCTGTCTTTTTAACTTTAACAATACTATCATACTCAAAACAGAAGAGAAAACAGAAGGGTGTATACATTAATATTACACCTTATTCTAAAAAGGACTTGTTATATGGCAAGTCTAGATGCTTATACATAGCCTGGTACACTACCAAACTTGCATCCACAACCAAAAGCTAATCTATATACCAATTTTAGCAATAACAAAGGACTAAACTGCCATTTTATTAAAGACAACTCAAGTAAAAACTGTTAATTTTCAAATCCCTACAAAAGCCTATAATACTTACTGCAGTGGTAGCAAATGATTGTTTCAGATCATTGTACTCCAGCATGTTACACAGTACAAAAAACAGCCTGTGTATTTTAACTTAACTACATCAAGGAATTTCCAACAAAGAACTAGTAACTTTTAAATCTATGATATTCATAAAAAAAATAAAATAAAAAATAAATAAATCTATGATATTCAAAGTGAAAACTGTAATTAGGATAAAACATGTAAAGATTTTATTTAAAATGACCTACAAAAAATTTTATGCCACAAATGGGTACAACTAGCCAATCTTCAAGATAAAGTAGAGGGCTCCTTTTATCAATTAAGTTTCTAAAGTTATTAAATCTTCTTAAAAAAGCATTTAAATTCTTCTGGAACAAAGCAAAATGTAAATATAAAAAAATTAAAGAAATTAATAATCAGTTGTTATTTTCTTATACCATACTTACAGCTTGATAGGCAAAAAAGCACGAGTAGCTGACCTCAGAGAAATATAACACAGAAGCTTTCCTTTATTTAAAAGCTGTCCTTTCCACAAGGTGTAGTTAAATTTATCTAAATTAAAAAAAAATTAATAACAATAACATTGCTTTTGACAACCTACAGAAATAAATGCACATTACTAAAAATAAGAGAAAAGGGCCAGGGAGATGGCTCAGTAGAATAAGTGCTTCCCTGGCAAGCACAAGGGCCTGAGTTCAACCCTCAATTCCACCAAAAAAAAAAAAAAAAACCATCTAGAAACAAGTCCTAACTAGAAAACAAACATACTTCAATTTACAGGGCTGGGGAGATGGCTCAGTAGAATAAGCACTTGCCTGGCAAGTACAAGGGCCTGAGTCCAATCCCCGGTTCCACCAAAAAAATTAAATAAAATAAGAGGCCAGGGAGATGGCTTAATGGAATAAGTGCTTGCTTGGCAAGCGGAAGGGCCTGAGTTCAATCCTCGGTTCTGCCAAAAAATAAATAAATTAATTAATTAAATAAAATCAGGACATTGAGAATGGGCATGTGGCGTGTGCCTGTACTCCCAGCTCTTGGAGGGCTGTTAACAGGCAGATCACCATGAGTCCAAGTCCAATCTAGTAGTGAGACCCTGAACACCCTGTAGACCCTTTCCTAAAATAAAGATTAAAAAAAAAAAAAAAAATCAATTTCCACAAAAGTTCAAATATTAAGATTTTAGTTTTAAGTAGCTTTGCTCCTTAAAAAAAAATCAGGTTCAGGGGCCTGCCCCTTAGCTCATTTCTTTAAGTGGCTGCTTCAATAAAGCAGTCAGGCTCAGGTTGTTGCAGTTAGATCCCCACAACTCAAGCCAGCCAAACCTGCCCTGAAGGCATTCAGAGAAAAAAAAAAAAAAAAATTCAGTTTCAACAAGTAACACTTTTTCCGTCTGTCATCAGAAAGAAAGATAAAGACAATGTACTCACTGCCCTTTCACCTCCTCCAAGAGACTATGTTAAATCTGGTAGCATATGAAATGTTCACAATGTCTCCTATCTTCTAGTGGTTCACTTTTCATTATGAAGAAACCTCAAGTTAAGGTCAATAATGCTTTTAATCTTTATCTTTTCTAAATGCTAAACCTCTGATGAATTTCATACTTTCTAAAGGTTGAATTATGTCCAGGCATGGTGATAGATGCCTATAATCCCAGGGGCTGAGGCAGGAGAAATGCCACAAATACAAGGCCAGCCTGACAGTGAGATCTAGTCTCAAAAAAATAAAAATAAAAAGGCTGAGTTGTGAAATCTATTTATCGTTTATGTTTAAAGTTATCATTTGTTCTATCTTCAGAAATAGTAACTTCTTAAAGGAGACTTATGCTTGGATGACCAAGTACTAATGCCACATGATAACAACAGATTATCATTCATTATAAAAATAAAGCATTTCTCATTTTTGCATATGTTCTTTCAATTTATAAAACAAAAGAAATACAAGACTCTTACCTGTGTTTCTATCTGCATTAAAGCTGTTAGATCTATAAATTTTTTAAAAGAAAAACGATTACTAATTGGTAAAAACATGAAAGTTAACAGTTAGAACCTTAATCTAAGTGCATTTTTGCAATGGCTGGAACTAAACCCATGGCCTCATACATGCCAGAAGGGCAATCTACCATTGAGCTACATCCCTCAGCCTATAGACACTATTTGTAATGGTACACTGAATAAGAGAATGAAATTCTTCCTCCAAGTAGAATAAATGAATGTCATTACAAAATTTAATAAATTCAAATCCACTTTAAAAATAGCATTTTTGCTATTAGTACATTGGTCCAGAAAGAAAAGTGAGGTTTTATTCCACCAAAAAATATCCATTAACAGAGAAAAGTTCACTAAAGTTTCTTTCAATTATTTTATCTCAATGATAGGATTAGAAAAAAAAGTTCAGGGTATATTTAAATATATTCACCTGACATTCAAAAAAAATTTTTTTTTTTTTTTTTTTTTTTTTTGCGGAACTGAGGATTGAACTCAGGCTCTTGCACTTGGCAGGCAAGTGCTTACTCTACTGAGCTATCTTGCCGGCCCCCCAAAATAATTTCTAATATTATTCTATTATTTACAGGCATGATTCTAGGTAACAGGATTATAGGGATAAACAAGACAAAGTCCATGTTGAATTTCAAAGAATTTACAATCTAATGAGGAAGGCAAATAATAATAAATGTATAATAAAGTTTAGCAAGGACCAGCGGATAGCTCAGCAGATTAAAGTGCCTGCTTAGGCAGCGCGCAGCAGAATAGCCAGGGTTTGATCCCAGACCTGCCGCCGGCCCCGCCCCACCCTCCCACCCCCTCATCCTCCTTCTTGCTCTGAGATTGTGATTAAGACTGGGCATGGTAGCATGCCCTGTAATCCCAGCACCTGGGAGACTGAAAACAGGAGAATCACTATGAGTCTGATCAAAGTAGGGAGACCCTGTAGACCCTGTACTAAACACAAAAAAAAAGTTTACCAGGTAATGGTTTTTGAATGCTAGGAAGAAAAGACACACAATAAAGGGGCTTAAAAAAACAATTCAGGGCGGATTAACCTTGAAATACAGTTATAGAACTACGAAAACAGCAACAACAAATCAGCAAAGGCCTGAGAAGGCCACCTTTAAAGAGAGAAATGTATGCCTGGCAAGCAAGCTCAAGGGCCTGAGTTCAATCCCTGGTTCCCAAAAAAAAAAAAAAAAAAAAAAAGAAATGTAGTATAGGAAAAACCTGTATAGATAAAGTAACTGGGGGAAAAAGAAGGGACAGCAAATGCAAAGAATCAAAATAGCATCCTTGAAATATTCAAGGTGTAGGATAGATGTCTGATCAACACTTACCTGATATAATATAGAAATCACAATCAAAGAAAGTTAACAGTCATTATTCCTAGGGGTATGACCTCTTCATTGTAAGTGTTAGAAATCTTTAAAAGATCACTCATAAAAAACTACTACATTAGGGGCTGGGGAGATAGCTCAGTAGAATTAGCGCTTTGCCTGGTAAACCCAAGGGCCTGAGTTCAATCCCTGGTTCCACAAAAAAAACAAAAAAACCTACTACATTACATGTGTTGCATAGAGATTATAAATATAGTTCAGGGCCAGGGGGATGGCTCAGTGGAATAAGCACTTCCCTGACAAGCGCAAGGGCCTGAGTTCAATCCCCAATTCTGCAAATAAATAAATAAATAAATATATATATATAGTTCAAGTTCTTTTTTTAAAAAATGTTCCAGTAAAACTTTATTTATTTATTTATTTATTTATTTATTTTGCAGTACCAGGGATTGTCAAGTTCTTAAAAAGAAAATAACACAGCTTTCTAATATTATATGGCTTGGTACTTGTGCCTGCAGATGGTTCCCATGGCTTATTCACTGACATGAAAGTGCTGTATCTCAAGCAGCTTAAAGGAATGACAGGATAATTCAATCCAGGAAACTGACAGAGGTCCACATGAAATACATTCATAAATGTTTTATTTATGGTTTTTAAAAAAGTAGTGTGTGACTAATCTCAGGAGGGTAAGTATCACAAGTTCAAGGCCAGCCTTGGCAGTAAAATAGTAAGATCTTGTCTCAAAATTTTAAAATAATTTTTAAAAGGAGTGATGCTATAGCTCAGTGGGAGAGGCCTTAGGTTCAATGCCCCCCACAGAAAAAAAATTTTCTAAATTAATAGATATTTCTAGTAACTTTAAATATATAACTCAAAATGAAAATAAACATTTAACTAACTCATCTACATCTCTGTAAATTAATCCATTTCGTTAAAACATTTTCTAGAATCAACACATGGAACAAATGGATACTACTTTGTGTCTGGTCACCTTAGTGTTTTTAAGAAATTATCACGGGTAACTAATACTGGTTAATAATTAGAATCATATGGAAGCTTTAAAAAAACTACCAATCCCTAGGTTCCCTACTAAGTATCAGATTTAATTGGTTTGAGATGGGTCTAGGGGCTGGGGATATAGTTTAGCAGCCTAAGCACCTGCCTGGCAAGTACAGGGTCCTGAGTTTGATCCCTGGTACTGCATTAAAAAAAAAAAGTTTGTGAGATGGATCTGGTACATTAGTTATAGAAACTCTCCAATTTTAGAAAAATATCCAAAATTTCACTTTTAAAAACTGCCGTTAACTCAACTACACAGACTTTCCATGCCCAACACAAACAGATGACATTTATGGAGATTTTAGTTTGTGTTTCCACACAAACTAAATGATATGTCTTTCACAATGACCTGCTAAAAGTGATCATGAACAAACGCGCATTCAGTTAACTTTTCTTAAAGTTGTTTAGGGGAAAGCAGAGGGGACAAGAAGATCCTCTAACCCAGTATCATAGATTGTGTAGCATCTTACTCTGCATGATGTCTAAAATTCTTAGTCTTACCTTGATGAGGAAACAAACTTTGGAGTTTGCATATCGTCTCTGTAAGTAAAAGACACAACTGCATATGGACAAACATGTCTTGGTCTTCGCCTTAGTTCATCAAAGCCATACTCATAAAAATAATACTAAAAATAAGAAAATGCAAAATTAGGTAGGCAAATAGTACACAGAATCTTTGCATTTATCTGAGTTTTAAGAAACAAAACCATTTAGCACGTGACAGTAAATTTCAAGCTTCAGTTAGTCAGTGTAACTGAAAAAAATTGTAGTTCATATTTACTTTGTGATACGTAATATTGTTTCTTTTTTATTTATTTATTTTTATTTTTGGTCTTTCTAAAACAGGGTCTCACTATGCAGTTTGGGATGGCCTTGAGCTCACTTTGTAGCTCAGGTTGCCATCAAATTTGCAGCAATACTCCTTCCTTAGCCTCCCAAGTGCTGAGATTACAAGCATGCACCACCACGCCCAACTGTACTATTCTTTTTTAAAAAAAATATTTATTTATTTATTTATTTATTTATTATTGTGTGTGTGGCCAGCTCAGCCCACCAGGGGGCGGGGCTGCCTGGCATGTGGTGCTGGGGGATTGAACCGCGGTCCCTGTGCTTTGCTAAGCTTGTTCTAAGTAGGTGCTTTAGACCACTGAGCCATCTCACCAGCCCCTCAACTGTACTATTCTATGTGTGTCAGATCGCAAGCGTACTACTGCTAAATATTCCAAAAGTTTGCTTCTAAGGAGCTGGGAATGCAAAACAAATTTTCCAATAAAAATGCTACAAATGGAGGCTAAGATCCCAGGTCAGCCTCAGAAAACTCAATTTGACAGAAAAATATATAAATCTCAACAAAACCTAACTATGATTTTGCTTATTCAAAAGAAAAAAAAGCTTTTCTGGACTCAACTGCAAATAAATCAAAAAGCAAGGTAGGCAAGAATAACATAGATATCAAAGTAGATGAACAAGCCTCATTCATAAACAAGAGAATCTAGTGGTGATACATGGAAGCCAAACACTAATGTGAGAGCAGAGGTAAAAAGGAAACATTCTGAAGGATTCAGTAACAACAGATATGAGGTCATAAATCTAGGCACATACCTGAGTAAGCTCATAGGCTCTGTAAGCCAAGAGTGATGTGATTCTACCTGCATTCTTCGACACGTGACATTCATGCTTTGGTGTCGGGTCCAAAGCACTTTTATTTAACATGGATTCCAAGTTTTTCACACCCATAGGGTCATATATACTCTTTATTTTACCCTAAAATAGACAAACATCTCTCAAATATTTGTCTAAACATTAATAATACAAATAAACAATAATTCTACTCACAACACTCTTCACTAAACTATATTACCAACATATTAATTATCCTCTTTTTTCTTTTCTTTGGAAGGGCAAAGTGTTAAAACAGCTAGCTTAATCAAAGACAACAAACTACTCTCAAAGCATCTTTTATAGCTTCGCAAGCATGAGCTTCAACACTAACAGTGTGGATTTAACTGAGTCAAAGCCCTAAACACTTGGGGTCAGGTCAAAGTCCATGACAACTGTTGTCTTTCATATGTGAAATGTAAAGCCTGAAATTACCTTCATTATTTTAAAAATCACAACATCGCCCACTGCCCCCGTTTCCAAAGGATTAGCTTGTAATAGGTCAGCATATTTAGAAAGATAGATACCTAATAAAGACAGAAAAATTGAAAGAATTTTAATAAGGACATAAATACCAAAAAATACAAATATGTAATAATAAAAGTAAAGGTATATAAAGACAGTAGAGGCAGTTGATGTTTTAATCAAAGTAAAATAAAGAAAAAGCATCACATTTTTCAAAATCACTTAGATGCTAAGATAGTAAAAAGTAAACTTTGATCAATTAGAAGCATGCAAACTCAGACAAGATACAGCCAGTTTTATATTTCAGAGCCAGAGAAGTCTCCTTTTCTAAAAACATGATAAAGCATATACAAATTTAATTACAAGGACTACAGCAAAATTAATTTATGATTTTAATGGTAACTTAGTAATAAATACAAACAAGAAAGAAAAAAAATTACCCATAGAAGGACTGCCAAGAATTGTTATTTTGGAATGGCCCACCTGCAATCCTTTTTCACATATGTTTTGAACCTAAAAAAGCAAAACACTTCACCTTGCAATCATAATAATATTAAAAACATAAAAAATTTATAAGCTTATTCTAAATAAAATTTAAACTTCTAAGCTATATACATTCTACATTATACAAATTTCAAATATATGTCAGTATATGCTCAAATATCATTGTGAAACTGACACTTCAGAAGTAACCACACCTGGAATTTGTATTTACACTAGGTATGAAACACCTCAAATTCCTGCATCTCAGAAACATAATCATCCTTATTTATTTGACATAAAGAATCAGAACCAGCAAAACACTTTAAAAAGTAGCTCCACCTAAACATCTTAAATTAGAAGAGAAAATACTTAGTTCCAAGAACATACAATCAATAAGATATAGATAATCTTTTTAACAAAGTGAGCCGGGCATGGTGGCACACTCGTACTAGGGAGGCTGAGGCAGGAGGATCCTTATGAGTTGGAGACCACAGTGGGCTACAAAGTGAACTCAAGGCCAGCCTGAACTGCATAGTGAGACCCTGTCTCAAAAAGGCAAAAAACAAAAACAAATAGAAGGCTGGCCAAATAGCTCAGCACATTAAAGCACTTGTAAGCAGGTGCAGGGGCCAGGGGTTGTGACGGCCCTGCCCTGGAGGTGAGTTGAGACAGCAATGGAGACTGGGCATGGTGGCACACGCCTGCAATCCCATTCTTGGGAGGCTGTAAACAGGTGGATCACTACGAGTCCAATCTAGCAGTGAGACCCTGAACACCCTGTAGACCCTTCCCTAAAATAAAAAATAAAAATTAAAAAAAACAAAGGGAAACGTATTATTATCAAGCAAATTCAAGGGGAAGAAAACAGGAGCAATCAGAGTCAGAGGAAAAAACTGAGGATATCTAAAAAACAAATTACAAAACAATTAATACTTCTCCCCTCTAAATCACTTCCTCCAATTAGATCAAGAAAAATATAGCCAGTACAACAGCATCTGCATACAATCTCAGCCATTTAGGAACCTGAGAAAGGTATATTTTAGATTCAAGGTCAGGCTTGACAAGCTGGGAGAACCATGGCTTGGCTTTAAAAAAGCCATGGTCAGGGCCAGGGAGATAGATCAGTAGAATAAGTGCCAAGTGCAAGGGCCTGAGTTCAATCCCTGGTTCCACACACACAAAAAAAATAATTAAAAAATAAATAAATAAATAAATAAAAAAGCCACAGTCTTGAGGAGCAGAAGCAGAAGGCTCACTGAGAATTAAAGTTCAAGGGCAGCTTGGGAAATATAGCAAGACCTTGTCTCAAAAAAAACTTTTTTTTGGGGGGGGGGGCTCTGGGAAGATGGCTCAGTAAAATAAGTACTTCCTTGGCAAGTGCAGGGGCCTGAGTTCAATCCCTGGTTCCGCAAAAAAAAAAAAAAAAAAAAAAATTTAAAGGGACTAGTTGTGTAGTTAAGCAGTAAATTGTTTCTGATATGTGGAATTCCGAGTTAAACCCCTGGTACCATCAAATAAAAAAAAAAAGTTTAAGTTGAAACATCCTCAAATTGTTTTTATAAAGCATCAACTTACCTGACATCGATCAACCATGAGAAATGCGTAAGATTCTGAAAGTTCCTTATCTAACCGACCATCAGATTTCAGTTCTCTTCGCTTTTCTGTAAACTAAATGAAATTGAATCTATAACATCTCCTTAGCATATGATTGTGCTTTGTTAAGCATTCCAAGAATTTTTTTCCAGGAAATCTCAAACCTACCAAAGTAAAAAATTACCTTTTCTCTCCTTCTACTTCAAATTATTTTCCCCATTATGTGCTCTTTACCCACACAAAACAGTTGAATAAGCATCGAGTATTTATCAATTTTATTCAGTTTTACTAAAATTTTATCGTACTACAATTCTCCCATATGTTATAAATTCCTATCTAGTTATCTTTTTTTTTTTTTTTTTGTTCCTCGAATGCCTTCAGGGCACTTTTGGCCAGCTGGAGAGGTATGAGGTTCGAACTCCAGCAACCTGAGGCTGACAGCTTTGTGGAAGCAGCCACTTAAAGGCCTGAGCTACGGCCAGGCCCCCTCTAGTTATCTTTATGTCTTTCATTTTAAGATATATTGCAAGTGCTAAATGTTTCATTGTTGACATCTGCAGATGGGAAGGGGCTCTAGGAATGCAGATGGCGAGTAGAACACACAAAAGATGTGCTGTGTATAGGTATCAACTCCCCATAATTGTATTCATTCTCATACATCACAAACATGTACTAATAACATTTTGAAAATGAAAAATAAATCCACTGATTGACCTACTACTTCCAGACTATAAACTCATTAGGACAAGAAAAAATTATTTCGGGGCTGGGGAGATAGCTCAGTAGAATAAGCACTTGCCTGGCAAGCGCAAGGTCCTGAGTTCAATCCCCACTTCCACAAAAAAAAAAAAAAAAAAAAAAAAAAATTATTTTCATGTTTTTAATAACTATTCTCGGTGCCAAGCACATAAGATATACATACTTACATATTGACATGATTAAAGTGCAATTTACATGATTAAAAAAACTGTTCAGTCATCCTAAAACTATAGGCTATCACTTATTAGATACAGACAAGTTTACATTCAATCACAGAATAACTGACATTTTTTTAATATTCAGGCCATTACTGCTCATTAATATACCTTCAAACTAAATTTTTACCTGAAATTAACAAATCATTCTTATCATACACAAAACTACATTAAACTACCGAAGTTTTGTTTTCTCTAGGAGCCAGTAACATTAATACCTTTTAGAGATTCTTTCAAGTTTAATTTTGTTAACACTTCATTAACCAACTTGTAAAATACAATCAGTAATATTTTACAACCACTAGAAAGTAATATGTTAATGCCAGCCATGGTGGCACGTGCATACTAGCCCTCTGGGAGGCTGAGGCAGGAGGACAGCAATTTCAGCCCAGCCTAGGCAACATAGCAATTTAGGAAAACAGTGACTTAAACTTTTAAAAACAAAACAAAAAATGAGCTAAAAACATTCATTCTGGTTCTGAAAAAGTAAAAAGGAGAGACAGGGGAGAGGTAAAGGGAAGATGGAAGAAAGGGTAAATGGAAAAGGCAGAAAACAAGACACTCCAGTCTCCACTACCAACCACCAAGGCATCCAGTCCCTTGCCAGCTGGGGAAGAGGCCTTGCAGGGAACTCTCCCTCCCCAAAAAACAAAGAAAACAATAAATGAAAAAAGGAAAAAAAAAGTCCAATGGCCAGGATTAATGGCCTGCCTATTGTTTTAGCACTCTCCCAGGACTAGGGAGACTTAGGCAGGAGGACAGACCTCAAGACCAACCCGACCTATGTAATGAAACCCTATCTTCCAATGAAAAATAAACTTCTCGTTTACATTATATCAGAATACACACTTTACCATTTCCTAAATCAAAACACAAATATCAAATTTGCACATGAATATTTTTCTTTGTACATGAATCTTAATTTACTAGTATAGTCAACTGTTCTCCTAAGAATTTCCACTAATGATACATAATCAAGATAAGATAATCAATCTAGTCCCCAAGCAATTTTGGGAAAAAAGATAACCTTTTTAAAAACATGTATTTCAGGGCCGGGGAGATGGCTCAATAGGATAAGTGCATGACTGGTAAACGCAAAGATCTGAGTCCAATCCCCGGTTCCACCAAAAAAAAACCACATATTTGATTTCATTCCAATTCAGACATTTAATTAACATGCACTGCAAGAGCAAAAAGCTTATGAATTTATAATGAAGGCATGACAAAGTAAACTATGTTGAAAATTCAATTTCAGTATGCTATTTTACAAAATCACTCACTGATAAATAATTTAAAGCTGGGAGTGGTAATCCCATGCTTGTAATCCCACCACTCTGAAGGCTGAGGCTGAAGAATCACCATGCATAGGAATTTAACACAGCAGATAAATGCAACATTATTTAAGGGGAAAAAAGAGATTAACATTTAAACTTATTTACCCTTCCATAATTTGGGCTCCCTTAAAAACTATAATTTCTGAAGGAATGTTTTCAGGTTAACTGGTTCTGAAAAGAATCTTAGGAGTACAACTTAAAACATACCTCTTTTTCCAAAAGCTCATTATGTATCAAGCACGCACATTTGTAATGAAAATTTGTCTCTGAAGATGGTTCAAGATAAGATGAATGGAGAATATTTAAAACATCTTCGAATTCTCGAGAGCTTGGAGTTAACGGCTGGAAAAGTGCTAAAATAAAAAACACCATTAAATTTTAAGATTATTCCATCTTAAATGTAACTTCTATTTTTGTGGGCAAATCTCTTTCAATAAGTAAACAAAGGCATCAAGGTTATTGTATTTTGGATGTGCAAAAGACATACAAACTTACTGGGGGGAAAAAAACCCAAAACACCCAGCTGCCAGGACTGATTCAGTTCCTACAATAAGGATCTAGCCTTAGACAAGCAGATTGCAATTTGCACCTTAGGCATAAGAATCTTTGCGTGTTCTCAACTTATCTCAACTGTTTTATATTATGCTGACGATGTCTAGGACTATTATTTCAGCAACTTCTACCACAAGTGAAAGCTAAAATTATTTAACACATTTACACTATCTATAAAATAAAATGGTTGTACTTAGTACTAAAATTGAGAGTAATATAGTACACTACATCCAAAAAATTTTATTACCAATACAATGTAGTAGGACACTTACTATATGACAGCAAAATGTTAAGATATGAGGCTTTGGAGTCAAGCTTTGGAATCACACAAGATTTACCATGTACTGCCTTTCTGGACAGTGTTATTTAAACAACCAAACAATAGCTCAGTTCTCTGTACATGGAGACTCCAGCTATTCTAATAACCACTATATGTCACATGTAATACATAAGACAATTCATGGAAAAAAGTTCTAAGTACACCATGTGGTGTACAATAAGACAGTAAGGGGGCTGGAGAGATGGCTCAGTGGTCTAAAGCACCTACTTAGAACAAGCTTAGCAAAGCATTAGGGACCGCGGTTCGATCCCCCAGCACCACATGCCAGCCCCGCCCCCTGGTGGGCTGAGCTGGCCACACACACCACACACACTCTCTCTCTGTCTCTCTCTCTCTCTCTCAAATAAAAAAAAATAAAAAAAAAAAAAAAGACAGTAAGTTTTTATTTCTCATGCCCTCAACCATTCCATATTCCATTTAATTTTTAAACAGTCAACTCCAAATATCCAACTTGTTTGGGATTACTAGTCTAATGAACTGAAATTTCAATTGTACTCAAGAAATATTTTAATTTACCAATAAAACTCACACATCAAATCTGTACAAATATATATAATTTTCCCCACATCAAAAAGGAACCACGTGTTCTTCACTGTAGACAGAACTATTCATAATAACTATGTTATATTCATTAAGATACTAGTAAGAGCCAATCTGAATCAAAATACTCTTGGGTCACTACTGAAAAGTATTCTACTTCTACATAATCTTAAAGTATGGCATATAAAAGCTCATAAGCAAGCTGTATTTAATGTTAATTTTCTACTCATAATTGTTAGTTCATTTCTTTTTTGTGGGGTTTTTTAAAATTTTTTTGGTACTGGGAATCAAGCTTAGGACCCAGCACTTGCCAGGCAGGCAATTGTGCCACTGATCTGTATCTCCCCAGCCCCTAGGTTTTTTAATTTAAAAGACACAATCTCACTGTGCAGCTCAGCAGCACAGTACCTGCCCTGAAAGCACAAGGTCCTAAGTGTGATTACTGGTACAAAAAAAAAAAAAAAAAAAGTCAAAAGATACAACATTCATTAACATACCATATTATACAAATATCTATTTTAAAAATGTACTTTTCAATAACAGTATGTATAACACTGATTACCTACTTGGGACTGCAAGCTTACAAAGGAGTATCAACAGAGTAACACAATTACAATTTTTTTTTTTAAATGAGAATATATTTATTGAGAGAAAGAAAGCTTCTGTCCAAGAGAGGGACGGGGGGGGGGGGGGGCGAGCGGATAGTTCCCCCCAAGAATTTTCATTCTGCCTCT